AGAGGGCTTGTTTATTTGTCTGCTTGTGTTTCACCAGCTTGCATCCCTGTCCCAGCTTGTCAACTGCCATGCTAGGGACCGGGGCTAAATGAGATTCCATCTTGTATTTCCATTGGTAAAAAAGTAAGCTGTTTCCTCTTTGCAAACCAAAATATCTCTCTCTGGTTTTTTTGGTACTGGGGATCGGGAATCGAACTCGGGACCTTGCAAAATATCTCTAACTAATTATTTAATGTCCCTTTTGATCTTTCTCTTTTCCTTTATCTCAAAAAAACAAACAAAAAAAGACAAATGTCACCATGATGGATCCAAGTCATTTCCTGATGATAATGCTCAGCCGCTTTGAACTTTATCAGATTTTCAGGACACCAGATTATGGGAAAAGATTCAGTTCTGAGATCACCCATAAGGTGAGAAGCATGTTTTGTGAGACCACAGCACATCACTAAAGAAGTGTCTTTCATTCTTTCTGGATGTGTTACTCATCTGAGAGAATACAGTATACATATTCTTCTCTCTGATTCCACTTGTAGGATGTTGTTCAGCAGAACAGTACTCTAATAGAAGAAATGCTATACCTCATTATAATGCTTGTTGGTAAGTTTCGATTGTTTAATATAGTTATAAATTATGTTGAATTTTGTGATAGCATGTAGTTGAGAATGTCTGACCTATGTTTCTTTCATTGGGAGACAATGAGTATCAATTTTAGGGGAAAGGAGTTGGAACATTTTCTTTTTCTGCCCTCTGGACACTGTAATCTTGGGACCCCCTTATCTGTACCTTATTGCTTCCTGCCCTCTGGTCCTTCCTCTAAAGTAGCACCCACAGTACTCCCTGCCAAAAGCCAGCACTTAGCTCTGCATCTGAGACGCAGAAGTGTTCAGGAGCTGCTCTCTGCTGCCTTCTTCCTAACCAGTCATTGCTTTCCCACTTCAGAGATAGAAACAGGAATTCATCATGCTGCATGAGTTGCAAGTGTGTATCACCTGAGGATTGTGATTACGTTAATGTGGATGTTTACCTTCTCATTTTCACAGGTGAGAGATTTAGTCCTGGGGTTGGACAGGTGAATGCTACAGATGAAATTAAACTGGAGATTATCCATCAATTGAGCATCAAGCCTATGGCTCGCAGTGAATTGGTAAAGTCTTTACCTGAAGATGTAAGTTCCTACATGGTGTTGGTTGGTTGGTTGTGGCAGGGTCTTACTATGTAGTTTAGGCTGGCCTTGACCTTACTGTGTAGCTCAGGCTGGCCTCATTCATGGTGATCTTCCTATCTTGGCCTCAAGTGCTAGGATTATAGGCTTGTGCAGTTGTTAGTACCTACTTTTTTTTTTTTTTCCTTTAAAGAATACCTACATTAGGCCTGGGGATTTAGCTCAGTGGTTCTGCTGCCTGCTTCACAAGCGCAAGGTCCCGAGTTCGATCCCTGGTACCAAAAAAAAAAAAAAAAAAGAATACTTACAGTTTAAAAAGAAAATTGTAATGAGCTTTCCCTACCTATCAGTCTTGTATTATATATTTACTTATATATACATTTCCCACAATTGTAAAATCTACAATTCTAAGATGCACCAACTCTACTACAGAAGAGCTTAGGGCTTTATGAACAGCCTATTTGTGTGCCATTATCACACTTTAAAAACAATAATAATTTCTTAATCATAGATCTGGTCAGGATAGAAATTACTTGTACTTTTTAAAGCAGGAAATGAATCCTGAATTGTTACATGGGGGCATATAGTTTAACCTGAAGTTTAAGAAAGAACAACTTTAAACAATAAGTTTTGAAAAGATTGTATGCCTTGTACAAAAAGATGCCAACTGTATCTCCCCAAACATTTTGACCAGAGAATCCTTTATTTGTAGAATTTCTATTAACCTCTTGGAAGTACTGTTTTATTGAAAATAGATAAGCATTTAGATCAGCCGGGGATTTAGCTCAGTGGTTCTGCTGCCTGCCTCACAAGAGCAAGGACCCAAGTTTGAGCCCTGGTACCAAAAAAAAAAAGTGCTCAAGATCAGCATTTAGAATGGCTATTTTATAAAATATTGTAATATTTTACATAAATTCTATTTAAATGTCTTATGTACTTTGTGTTATTTAATTCTTTAAAAAGCTCTTATCTGGGCCGGGGATTTAGCTCAGTGGTTTCGCCGCCTGCTGCGCAAGCACAAAGACCTGAGTTGAATCCCTGGTACCCAAAAAGAGTTCTTATCTTGTATTTGGTAGTAGTGACTTTTTTTCATATTCCATTTGAATGAATGAATGCCAGCTTGCTAGGTAAGTCTGGCTAATTTTGTAATCTTGCTCTGTTTGCTATGGAACCCTCACTCTTTCAGTGGGGTAATAATGGATCCAGAATTGCTGTGAGTGCTCTGAGTGTAGCAGCTGTCAGTACTAACACAGTACCCACTTGTTTCCTGTCACTCTAGGAGAACAAGGAGACTGGCATGGAGAATGTCACTGAAACAGTTGCCCATTTCAAGTAAGTTTTCTTCCTGTTACTTCACATTTTGTAGAGTTTATCTGGTTTGGTTTAGGGGGGCTTTTGTTTGTGTTTGTGTGTATGTTTATTTATTTGTTTGTTTTGTTAGTGATATTGGGCATTGAACCTAGGGAGCACTGAGCTACATCTCAAGCCCTTTTGTATCTTGAGACAAGGTCTTACTAAGTTGCCCAGGCAGGCCTCAAACTTGCAACATTTTCATGTTGCTGGGATTACAGGTGTGTGCCACTGTGCCTAGCTTGTGATGGTGGTGGTGGTATTGTTACTGTTGTTGTTGT